CAAATACATCAGCCAAGAGAAATAGTCAGTCAGCATTATGATATGTAAATATTTCATGAACTACTATTATTGTTTGAATTATTCAGATTTCTTAAATATTCGAAGATATGAAATGAAATTTATATCAGTGTAAACTGTTAAGATATTCACACTACACCTTTGGCTGGTGGTTTGACTTCCAACAATTGGTATATGTATAATAACATAATCAAAATTAATATATATAGATGTAAATTACATAAACATTATAACTATGTGACCCGATAAATGACATAATAATTGGATTTTGTGCAGAAGGGTCAAAGTCGTGGCATCCTAGAGATACTATTGATAATATTAGTGAAATGTGTATTTTAACAACAAAAACTGGCGTCATGAGTTGTCATTTGAATATTTCAGAAATAATAGAAGAAAATGCACCTTTACAGTAAGAATTATGTTATTTATTTATTTATTATTTAAACTTGGCTCATATTTTTAGCACATTATTAGATCTCAAGAAGAAATGGATATTAAAGATTCTCAGGTATTCAATAGTATAGCAAGCTTCACAAAATTAAGATATTTTTATTATAATCATTAATGTTTATTACAGGCTAAAAGAAATCGAGAGTTGAAACTTATATTTGAGCAAGCAATTTTTCGTAACAATGATCACAATGTAAATATTTCGAGTTATATATGCATTTCCATTTGGATTTATTTTTTAAGGTTTAAAAAATTATTTAGGTTTCTGTGTCACGCATTTTATCGTCAGATTTTAAAGACTACATCAATAAAGTGGTTCTCGAACTTAGTGATGAAATATTAGATTCTAGTAATTAACAATTATTTTATTAATGTAAACTTTTTTATTTTGCATAACTATGCATTACTTACAGTATAATTTTATTACAGGTTCACAATATTTAAATGAATCGGTTGATCTCAAATCACAATTGCATGAGAGATATAATAAAATGGCATTATTGATTCAGTTCATTCGCAACAGTAATGTTATTAACAATGTAAGAACTTTACACAATGAAAATAAGTCAGACCTAACTATAGTCACACTTAATATAGTACAACCTTAGTCCTAGCTACATACAATTTGAACTTTATATCACAATTTTTTATAATCATCAGATTTTATTTCCAACCTGGCGACTATAAAAAGGTTTAATTTTATGTGTTACATTCTTATTTTTTTTGTTTCTTTTGAATTCTATTTTCATTTTTTTAAACCATTTGTCATACTGTATTTTCGCGAAATAACGTCCACTTGCATGTTATTTTGAGTATATCCATGTGTGTTTTATATAATTATTAATATCAAGAAATTAGATTCTTTGTAAAAGTAGGAATCATGTTGGAAAAGTTACAGAATAGGTTTATAATAACTTACTACAGACTATGCTACTAACTCAACTATGCTAACTAGAACACTATTTTTATAATAACTAAACCCTAACAATGGTAAGGCATGATAGAGGTATGGAAAGACTTGGTTTGAATAATAAAGATTATTTGGCTTATAGCAATAGTGTTAGGCTTAGGATAAGTATACTTTTTCTTTGTTTAGATCAGTTAATCGAGTGCTATTGATTTTGCTAATATTTATTCTCTTTTATAGGATTACTATGGCTGTGAATTTGATTTTTGACATTATGCAGTCACAGGATTCAATTCAGATCAGTTACAGGTGTATCAATTTTAACAATAATGAGGTAATCACAGAGTTAATCAGTTTTGTATTCAATATTTAAGGGTTCAGCTTACTAATTAGTGTTCTTTTCTTTTTTATTTTATTCAGTATGAAAATGAGAGTGTAATAGTTATAGGAACAAGACAAGTAACAAAATACAAACTCAGTTTGTGTTTAAAGGAAATTATTTAAAAACAAACATTTCTATGCAAGACTTAGAAGATTTTGAACTTTACAAGTTAGATTTTTTTATTAAGGTTAGATTGATTTTTTATATACTTGCTATTTACATATAAATGAAATTTATACAATCAATATAATCCGTTCTCTTTATTTTTTCTGTATTTTTTACCTTTTGTTTTAATTTTGATAATCTATATTATTTTTGAAATCTTTCTATTTTCCTAATTAATTCAATTTATAAAATTTAAAAATTCAATAATTGTATTATATCAATTACTAATTATTATTAAAAAAGGTTAATTCGATATTTACAACATACATATGTACATATATACTTATATCAGATTTTTGAACATTCAAATTTATCAATAATATATGTTAGATTGCTTACAAATTACTACAAATTTGAATATATGTGTTATTTTATTCTTTAAATAACATTTATTACATACTAATACATATATACATACATATATACATACATATATACATACATATATACATATTGTTTGTCATAAGAAAATCATCTAGGTTTTTAAATTTATTTTCTAGTTTTTTTTAAATCAGATTGATTATATATATAAGAATCTTTGTTCTGTTATTTTTTACTTCTTAACCACTTCCCAAACAATTATGACTACATTATTATGTTAAATTTAAATACAATAATAATAATATGTTAAAATCTATTATACTAAATAGAACATTATATTAAAATTTATAAAAGTAAATAAAATATTACTGTTATATTAAAACTTATATATCAGTATCAAACAACGTTATGTTTTATACTATATCACCTAATCTAAAAAAAATAAAATAATAAATAGAATAAAATAAAAAAAATATTAAATATAAAGAATTACTTGCAGATATTGAACCAAACATGGTTGAAACTATTAATAATACTGTACATTTGGTTTTTTTTTATATTATAAATGTTTACAATATACTATATATAAAATATTGTCTAATTTGTTTTGTATACAGATTGTCTTACTTTGTTTACAAGTATATATGAATAAAAAAGGAGTTATATTATCACATTTAAGCATAAAGTAATCTTATATACAGAAACTATTTCTAATTATCATACTTCTTTATACTACAAAATTGACAAAAAATGAGTTCAAGAATGGTATAAACAAAAAAAATACTTGAAACTATTAGAGAGAATAAACATTTAAATATAAATCAAGTATAAGTTCTTAAAGGTCATATTAAAACTAACAAACTCTACATTAAAAAATGAGTTGATAAAGTTCATTAAAAAAAGAAGGAAAGAAAAGATAATAGTTACAACATTCTTAATTAACTATAGCATGTTGCATAAAACTAGATTAACTATATGTAGAACATAGAAACTTCTAGTAAGTTTTATGTCAAGAATAAACTAGTCCTAAGGGTACTTGAAGGCATCGAGTATTTTAGATAGGTGTAGCCTTGAAGATGTCCCTGTGAGACATGGTGGACTACATACGCAGAGGGTTTAAATAGACAAGACTCATAGTTGGCTTGCAGGTATGGCACTTAGTATAGAACCTGTATAGTAATATATAAGCAAACTACTTAAAAATAGACACCAAAAGTGCACATGTGGCTAGTTGTAACCTCTAATGTAAGGAAGCCCCTAGAGGCACCTGTGTCCAAATACATAAATAAAAACATCAACTCCCATAGACAGAAACTTTAACTCAAAAAAAAAAAAAAAAAAGTTTTTTTAAAATTGTATATTTTTGGTCTATAAGCAACCTAATTTTTTTCTTATAATTTAAAAATAAATACTGCAAAAAAGTAATTCTTATTTTCAAATATTATTATACCAAATTTTATTTATATATTTTAACAATTTAAAAAAGTAGATCAGACCTAAAAAAATGTAAAAATATAAGCAAATTTGCCTGTGTTAGCCTATAATCTAAGAGATAGTTCTAAAGCATTTTTAAACTGTTACTACAAAGTTGCAACTTCTTTTTCAATATTCAACTATACATATACACTAGTTTAAAAAAGTTTTCATAAAATTTAATATATTAATTATATTATTTTTTTGTAGTTTAACTTATTAAAAATTTGATTTAGATAATAGTTAAAAAGAGTTTAATTGAATATCTAATTTTTAAATAAATTTATTTTAATAAATTTAATTAAAATTTAATAATTTTAAATAATACTTATTTTATAAAAAAAATATATTATAATGCAAAACATTTATATTTAACAATTATATAAAAAACTAACTAATTATACCTCACAAATCTAATGATTTAATTAAATATTTAGATATTTTTTTAAATGAAAAAGGATCAACTAAACCTATACTTGAAAAAATTATTAGCAAAGTTTTTCAATTCATTCACATGATTCAATATAAAAAACTTTTTTCTATACAAATATCTTGACTATTTAATACTATTCTTTTATTATTAATTGAATATTTACTTCAAATCTGCTCTTTTTCACAAAACCAGCTTCAACAATTATCAAGTCTCTTAACAAAATACTTCAAACATATGCTTTACTTATCTACAAATACAAATAATAATATTCTTACTAATCTACAATTACTCAACATCCCTATATTAAATAAACTTATTCTATAAGTTAGTAGCAGCAATATAGAAAGATGCTTCAATACTAATAAACTTTTAAACCAAATTACTATATATTGAATTAAGGAATGGCTTTATAAAATATGGAAGCCATTTCTAATACAAGACACAATTTTAAAAAATTATAGAAAAACTACTAATTTTACTATAATATCCCAACTCTATCCCTTATATAAAAACAATATATTTTTTAACAACTTTCATTTAACTCAATTATTAACTTACAAACAAACTAACCAACTAAACAATATTTACAACTTTATTTAATTTCCAAATAATTCAACAACTTTAAGTTTTAAAAATAACAAAATTTTTTTTCTTGAATAATTTCTTATTGCTAACAATCTAAATCTATTTTTTTGAAAAAATATATATTTAAGAACCTTCAAATCTCCTTGAGGTTCTATTTCAAGCCAATTTAAAATATTCTTAAACCAAATATTTACTTCTTTTATAACATGCATATGGCTCAACATTCAACTTTTACCAATAAATCCATTTCTAAATACACTTAATCTGATTACATCTTAATTCGATAATATCAAAAATATATAAACAATTCACATTTCATCATCAAACTGGCATATAGGCAAAATAACAAATAAATTTAACTCATTATTACTCTTTTAAAACTACCAAATTATCAATTCAATATCTAATACAATTTGCATTTTTCTATATCTATAATGATTTAAACCAACTACAAAAATACTATTAATTTATAATGCAAAATACAAAAAAAAACAACACTTCGAGCTTAATATTAACAATTAAGAAATCCAAGCACTTCAAAATATTTATCTAGAGCTATACAAACCAGTTCTTCAATCCTTATTCTCTCTCTTAATACCTTCTTCAGAAATTCTCTTAATACAAAATACAATATCTGATCCTATTTATCAAAACTAACTCATTAATCTTTATAAAAAAATTCTATTTCTAGAACCAACTAATTTAAAGTTTTATACAGATGCCTTTATACTCAATTCACAAACAAATAACATTTTAATAGGCATTGCTTAAATCTTTGAAAAGAATATACAAATCAAATTTAATGCTTCTATAACTCATACACTAAACTCAATACAAGCTGAATTAGCAACACTCATTTCTTTATTCCTCATACTACCTGTCAATTATCAAATTCACTTCTATCTGGACAGCTTATCTACTATTCAAACACTCTCAAACATACTATTCTATGACTACAACTTACAAACCAAATAAAATAATTGGAATATTATACATATATTTAATTATTTAATAAAACTCAAAAACATCAATTACATTATACATAAAGTCTAATCATATTTAAAAAATACTTTACACAACATAACTGATTCTCTTGCCAAACAAGATGCTAACAAAACTAAATTAAAATTTAATTTTGACCACTTCTATTTACCTATTTACTTTTCTTGAAAAGAAATTTCAATTACATATAAACTATATAAATTCTGCAAGAACTTAATCTTAATTCAAACATTTAACAAACTTCTTTAACTCAAATCATTATAAAACCTTTTAACTATAAACATTTTATTATTAACTAAAATTATTAACTCCCAAAACTCCAATCTTAAACTATATTTTATTAGAAACAAAATACTTCTTAATAACTTACTAACAATGTCAAATCTAAATATCTGCTATCTTTTTTTTTATTTAACTTCAAATTGCTCATATTATAATCAATATAAAAACATTGAACACTTATTGCAATGCTCACTTCATTCTTACAACCCACAAAATACTCTCATTAATAAAATCTCAAATGCCTTAAACTTTTTAAATATTACAAAAATCTTATCAAATGCAATATTACAAATTCTTACTATACAAAATTCTCTTCTCAATCTAAATATATATAATATAATAGTATTACTTATTCAGAGTACAATAACCCTTAACCAACACAACCAGCTTCAACCTATTCTAAAAAAAAACTAACTACCAATTTTCTTATTTTCTTATCTAACTTATTACTTACTTAGTTCAACTCTACTATCTGGCAAATCTGTAATACTAAACAATATAAATAGGAATTATTACAAGGAATTACATCTACTACTAAAAAGAAAAACAATATCAGATTACCTATTTCTCAACTTACAAACTCTAACAATACTACTTATACTTTTAATACTGATATAGATCTCTTTATTTTCAAAACTCTTACTCAAAACTTTACTATATATATTTGCTTTTACTAATTAAATAATCTTAAGAATTCCTTTTATTCTCTCTGTAGTTAAGTTTATGTTAATTAACTCAACTAATAATGGAAATCTAAAAGATAATATCACATTAGATGTTATATTATATAACAACAATAGTGTAGCTTAGGAATAATATTTTAGTTATACATCTATATCCAATAGATATATAAATGTATCTTTATTTTTCTACTTAATATTATATAAATAAATAAATAAATAAAAATAAAATAAAAAAAAAACAATTATATAAAAAGTTTTAATTTTTTAAATATTATAATTTTTATTAAAGAAGTTTTTAAAAAAATTTAACTAATATCTTTATAAACTTGCATTAGCTTTATATATATATTAAATATCTTTTTAAAATCTTATTATTATAGAAAGTTTTAGCAATTTAAAAATTAAAAATATATATATAAATTTATAAATTATATACTATTACAAAGAGTTTATTAGAGGATATAGGTTCTATAGCTTAGCAGTTAAGCTCCTATACTCTTCATAGTCAAGATCAATAGTTCAAGTCAAACTGAAGGTAAAATTGAAAGATTTTAGTTTTTGTAACCTAATAAGAAGCCTGTAATTGAATATGAAGTCTTGTGATTAAGTTCAAGTACAGTACAATGATAGAAATAAAAATTCCTAGAAGAAGACTCAATTGTGAAGTGCAGACACTATGCATAACAAGTAGTTGTTACAGAAGATTATGGTTATGAAAAGATTGTACATATAAGTTCTTTAGACTAGAGTAGCACCAACATCTTTACATCTTCTAATATAGGCAGTACCAACATCTCTGCACTCAACTTGTAGGTATTTGCTTGAAAAGATAATTAATAGATTATGCAAACAAGTTTTAATTAGGACCTAAAGAGAGAATTTGATTAGGAGAGTAGTCTGAAAGTAACCAAGACTGGAATGGTGAAAGAAGTGATGAATATAAAAATAAGCTATAGTAAAGGATTGGTTTAACCAAAATTAGAAGCACCTTTGGCATAGCTAAATAATCTAATTATAGAAAAAAAAATTTTGAAGGTTGGCATATAACTTCTTTGTCAATGTAAAGACACCAAATTGGGTTCTAGTTATATCTATATAGAAGTCTATGATGAACAAAACTGGGATCAACCAACCAATATGAGATAAGATCTGCAAAGTAGTATGGCATCACTGGAGTTAATATAACTCTCTAAA